TTAAAGCGCCCTAGATTTCTAAATTTTTGTCCCTCCTCCTTGCGATGTACGAGTCGCAAACTCTTGAAATACCAAGGGAAAAATGAGCTTGTAAAGCACATGAGCTTTCGAAGCACATGGAATCTTCTTGGATTTCTATCTTAATAAATTTAGTTGGAATCAAACCTAGAAAAACTAATGGGATTAGAAAACATCAATACCATAACAATTATAAAGCAAACCAAACACCAAGCAGCTTATCTTAGGTAGGGCGTACTAGGGGTGCTAAGACCTTCCCTTTACGCAACCAGTCCCTTGCTTTAGAATCTCTGAAAGACCAGTTAGGTTTCCTAGTGACCATAATACTAGGTAGCGACTCCATTATTCATAATAAAACAAAAGACCCTGAAATCAATCGATGGTCGCCGCGACGCCTCGCTCCGCCGCAAGGATGCGACAATATCCCTGCCCTATGAGAATGGCAAATTGATGATTGTTAGATTCTTCATTCCTTAGGTTTTATAAATTTGTCCACAATTTTACTATCAAGCAAAGTATTTATTTATATATAATGAAATAAAATACATGAAAAGAACCCAAAAAACACATGAAAAAAAAATGGGCAGAAGATTCAAAATTGATTTTGGATAAATAGCAATGATAAAGCAGTGTTTAGTTATGAAAAATTAAGGACAACTCTTTAAGAAAATAAAACAAGACAGAAATCACTCCCAACCCACCAGCCTATTTCAATCAAATAAGAATCCCACAATTCAAAGAAACAACATGATATTTTTAGCTTAACTGGGTTTCTTCAAAATAAAATCAGAAGTGAGACTTTAAAGTGAAATCGAAAAGCAAAAGGAAAAGAAACTGGGCCGCAAAACCCTGGCTTATGCCGAAGCAGCAATCAACTTTAAAGTAAGGAATGGTGTTACAGAAGTGATTTATGAAATCATTCTACTAAAAAAATACAATTTATTTTAGTACCTTTTTATGTTTGGATAGACAAAATAACACATTGAAGTGTTGCTCCATCAGCTCCCATTCCCTTCATTCCCAGAACAGAAATTCACCATTCAAAGGAAGAGACAAATGCCAACAAATATATTTCTCTACAGCCACACCAACAACAATAAAACAATGTTGGTTCAATAACAACGACTATAAGTGATAGTTTTACTAGTATGGGCTAGTTACAACAGCATTCAGTAAATCCAGAAAAGAAAAATCATCTTCTTTATTAAAAATCCGATTCTTCTTGCAAAATTAGGAGAATAATTGGTTATTTTTTTAAAATTGTATCCTCTAAGACAGGAAAACCAATATACATGAATAAGACTTTGAAGATTTTGCAATTAATTGTAAAATATTCTGAGGAATCATGGTTTTGCAATTAACAAAAACAGCAGCTCAATTTTGCATTTACGCTTCAAAAGTCAAACTCAAGCATTACAGCAAAGAAAACCTATCAAGAAACAACTTACCATTTCCATCAAGTTTGAAATTTGATCTCTCTCTTTTGGTTCAATTGATCATATTTATTGATCTGCTTTCGTCTTTTAACAAGCGTCAAAAGCACAAGGGAAACGTTAATGGGGAATTCATTTGCCTGCCATGGATAAAGCTTTAAAACACAATAGAAACAGAAATTCTAGTCAGATTTTTTGAAAGAAAAGGAGAAACCAATTTCAAAAATTTAAACCAATTAAATAGAAAGTGAATTTAAAATGTTGCCAAGAAATAAAATCCAATCAATCAAAAAGTTTAAGAAGTAAACAAAAGAAAAACTCACCGTGAAATCTAAAAGATCCAAACTTTAACTCTGAAAATCCTTCAATCCCTTAATAAATTCAAGAAATCATACGTTACAATGAACAGAAAATTAAAGAACACATCAAATAGAGAAATGAGACAAAGCTAACAAGAAAATGTCTATAGTATACTTAAAAAAAAAATCACAAAAAGTTAAAGACCCATCAAAGACTAACCAAAATAAAAGCAAAATCCAGAAAGAAAAAGAATAAATTATATATTTATAGCGAGAGAGGAAGAGATGGGCACTATAGAGAATTTGAATGAAATGAAGATTCTCTCTTTGATCGAAATTGAAATTCCATATGATTACAAGAATCAAACCTTCTTACATAGAATTTGAATGGCTAAATGTGTACTATTGCTTCTACTTGCTAGAGAGAGAGAGAGAGAGAGATTTCTTTTGAGATTGAAAAATGTTGAGATTTAGAGAGAGAGAGAGAGGTGCTGGATTTATTACGTAGAGTTCAAAAAAAAAAAAATGACCGTTACATTAACTGAAAGACAGAACTTGGTTTTCTCTTGTGTTGATTGGTTTTAGGTTCTCAAACGAAGTCGTCTTATATGATCAGATTTGCTGTGTTTTTCTTCGCTGATTTTAAATTAAAGGTTGCATCTTGTCGATGGATGGATGCACTCGAGATGCTTTTTTATGCATTTTTCCTTCAAGATGACGGGCGACCTAGATTTAACTTATTGTTCTATCCATAATTTTTAAACATGATGCTAGGATACACCTAGAACAAGTTTATGATCATAAATCAAGTGGGTTGATATTATTAATTGAATTTCATAAAAATGATAGTTTTTTAAAAAGATTAATAGATTTTGATTGGATTTTTTCTAGACTGATCAAATAGTTTTTTTAAAAAAAATTAACAGATTTTAATTTGATTTTTTCTACACTAATATCAATATAAATTTTTTATCACATCATATCCATTAATTCTTTTTATTTTTTTTATTGAAATTCAACCTAACATAGATCTAAAATAATAAATCAATCTAATTTTTTCTACACTGCTAGTAATTTTCATCAATTTTATTTGCCGGAAAGCTGAACATGCTACATGTCAGGGTACTAACATGCACGTCCTACAAGTGGAGACATCTGAAGGCCAGAGAAAGGTGAAAAGCCTACTTCCAGAGTCCAGCTCTACCCCTAAAATCTTTTATGCCTTCAAAAATTGACACGATTTGGCATTTTCCTTACAAGCCTTCAAGTATCTAATGATGGCTAGATTTTTATATGAACAATTTTATTGCAGCTGATAAAATTTGTGAATTTCGCTGATATGAACGCAAATGTTTACATGAACAATTCACTATAAGTTGTTGATAGTGAACTTTGCTGATAAACTGATCTACATGCTGCTAGAAATGATAGAAGTAGTGATAAATTTACACGTAAAAACAAGAGATCGACTATAATTGCAGTAGCTGCAGTTTCTGCAGGACTTCTTGGTATTCTATCTGGCTATATCATTTGGAGAAAAACCTATGGAAAACATGGTACTTCTTTATAACTTGGTCATACATGAACTCTGCATAAAGAAGATGCTTCTTGGCTGTTCCGGTCTACTCTTTGGCCTGACATTAATTGATTAATGACAGAGAGAATTGTAAGAGAGTTGTGCTTGGACTAACACCACCATTGAAGTTGGAAAAAGTGACAGAGCTGGAAATGTTTAGTTTTAACCAGATGCTGACTGCCACTAATGACTTCAGTGAAGAAAATAAACTGGGTGAGGGCGGTTTTGGCCCTGTTACAGGGTACTACTTCCACAATTGGATTCGGTGAAATGCTGCATCCAAATAACAATTTTACTTGATTTCTGTTACCCTTTCTTCTTGATTCTATTGATCTATTTCAGATGGTGTGAAGGCTTTTCGTGCATTTGGTCTACAGGGGAACTTGATGAATCTAGAAGTAGCTGTAAAGAGGCTTTCAAAGATATCTGCGCGAGTGTATGAAGTGTTCATGAATGACTTAAAACTTATCGCCAAGCTTCAGCATACTAACCTTGTGAGGCTTTTAGGTTGTTGTGTTGAAAGGGAAGAAAAATACTGGTCTATGAATACCTGCAGAATCGAAGCCCGGACAAGTTTTTGTTCCGTTAACTTCTTTCTCTCTGTCGAAACTCCTCGAAAATGAATACTAATCTTTTTCTGAAAATCATCAATAGATTGAACACTTTAACCACGACCTTTAGCAGAACGTAATGAAATGTTATGAAAGATAGAAATGGTTACCTTTTTCTTTCTCTGCAGTTACATATTGCATACTGAACTTAATTCTTTTTAGTGATTTCCTATATCAGATCCATCTGAACAGGTAAATCTTGATTGGACAAAACGCTTTCGGATTATCGAGGGGATTGCTCAAGCCTACTTCACATCCACAAGTACTCTACATTGAAAGTAATACACAGGGACCTGAAGGCAAGTAATATATTACTGGATGAAGCAATGAATCCCAACATTTCAGATTTCGGAATGGCAAGAATGTTTCGTTCAGATCAAACTGAAGTCAAGCGGGTGGTTGGTACTTTGTAAGTTCACAAATTTTACACAAATTCCCTTCAACATTAACATGAGTTCAGATTCTACAAACCTCAAAGTTATTAAAATTAATTAAAATATATACATGCTGATGCTGATTCGGACATCAAAATCAATAATAAATCAATAAATAATGGCAGGTAACGAAGTCATATTTCAGTTGTGAAATAGATAGAGAAGGTTCCCAAGGATTACCAACATAGCCATGAGTAGTTTCTTGGAAGTCCAAATCAGAAAAGTTGTCCTAAATATTCCAGAAATTAAAGTTTCCTTTTTGTCAATGTCCCCAAAGTGGTCTATGAGGGACGGTAGCCGCGCACGCCATGGACACAGCCATTCTTCGTGCTTGGTTCCTTCCTAAAGAATGAAATAAAAATTGCCTTGTGCTTCTGGTCTCATATTTTTATCTTTATTCCAATGAGATCATGTGCGAAGCTGGGGATGTTCCCAGATTTCCTAGTCACATAAGCCCAAGTTCCTAATTTTGATTTTCTTGTTTAAAATGTGATTGTAACCTATGTTTTGTTTAACACGAAAATTAATGCGAGGAAACATTGGATTTGGAAATTAAGATTAGGGTTATTTGTTGCGTAGTTTTTAAACCCGCCCGTCTGATAAGTAAAACTAGAAACTTTTCAGAAAGTGATTTCAAGAAGATTCTTCAACAAGAACGTCAATCAATTAAATTTCAGTCATCTCTCTTAGTAAATTTATGTTTTTTATATACAGTGAAGTCAATTACTCTATCACCCTTGAAGGCTGATGAAATAGGACTTTTATATAGGGGCTTTCATGTATTTTCAACTTTATTTGCATAATTAAATTAAGATGATACCCTAAAAGCTTAAAAGTTTTAAACTGCATGGAGAGTGTATCCACATGTTGTTTTTTTTTTTTTTTTAATATTAGGATGCCCTCATGGGCTTTTAATAATTAAAATTATTAAATTATTAATAAATTAATATAAAAAGTTTATACATATCAAGCAAAGCCCGTCATTATCTCCTATGCCAAACGACTTATATGTCATCCGACGCGTCAGGTAGCAACACAATTATTGGTGTAGCATATTTGGCCCGGTTGGTGGTGGTTCAACGATGATGAAGGTTTTTCCTTCTCTCTTTTTTTTGTCTCCCATGTTCATTAGTTTTTTGCAATAGACCTTCCAAAATTCATATCTATCCTTGGGTTTATTTTTGTAAAGTTGATCTTCATTTTTTTTTTTTTTTATTTTAATGTTTTTTTATTTTTTTGTTTTAATTTCTTCTCCCTGTATTTTATTTTATAAAATTCTTATATCTAATTTGATCCATATTTTTTTATTTTTTATTTGTTATCCTTTGCATTGATCTTTTTTTATTTTGTCCTATATAATTTAATTTAATATTTTTGTTTTCAATTTTCATCCTCATTTCTTTTATTGCTCTTATTTTACCTTTTTATTTTTTTATTCAATTTAATCTCTAATTAGTTTCTTTTAACTATTTTTTATGCATGATTTAGTCCTCACTGTTTTTATTTTTTATTTTTTTTTATTTTTTATGATTTAGAATTTTTCTTTGTTATTTTTTCATATTTTTCTTCTACAATTATGATCCGGTATACTATGTTTTATGATTAGCTTGATTTAAGTTAGGAATTTTTTTATATTTTTTTTAAGAGTTGATTTTTTTTCATTTGACATTAACTTATTAGACCTTCAACTTCATAATTTGTTATAATTTTTTTTTTTATGGAGTTATTTCTATCAATTATGTCGAGTTGCAAGTTATTAAAGTTAAGGTGGGTTGGCTTGAATTTTTTTTTTTCTTTGAACATTCAAAATTTTGTCTCATTTTCGAGAGGATCTTTTTTATTTTTTGAGAGTAACACAGGTTGCCTCAATTTTTTTGTTTTTTTCTGGATCAATCTCTTTTAAAATGATTAAATTAATTTATTTTATTTTTTAATATTAAATTGACTTGATATTGCCTCGCTTCTTTAATGTTAGGTCTTGCTGTTTTAACAAGATTTTCTTAATTAAATTAATTTATCCAATCCTTCAACATTAAATTTGTTTTATATTGAGCTTTTTATTTGAGTCTATATTTGAAATTTAACGATTTGTAACTTTAAGAGATTAACTTAAACTTATAAGATTAACCTAGATTTGCTTTATTTTTTTTAGTTTATTTTTTTTAGTTTTATTTTCCAACATTTTCTTACTCTTTTTTTTTCCAATTTCTATAGGGCTTTCCATTTGTTTTTGAAAAAAAAAGACATGTTACCTAAAGTTTTTTTTTTTTGCTTTGTTCAATGTAATTATTTTTATAAGGATTTTTGCTTTTAAATTAAATATAAACATTAAATGTTTTTTATGATTTGTTTTAATTACTTTTGAGACCCAGGCCAAGCTAAGCTTTGAATCCCTTAGGTCACGAGCCAACTCATTAAGTTAAGAATTTTAAGCATCAAACAATATATTTTGATTTTAAAATTTGTTATTATTTTTTTAAATTTAGTCCTCACTCACTAAATTTTTATTTTTGTTTTGGACTCTTTTGTGAGTTCGTGAACTTAGGAATTTTCAACTTAGTCTTTATTTCAATATTTATCCTTCAATATTTTGGTTTTAAATTTTAAATTTTGATATTTTTATTAAATTAAATTTATTTTTTATTTTATTATTGAATCTATAATCTTGATTTTTTTTAATTTCATCACCTAGGTTTACTGATATTTCTTTATTTTTTTTGTTTATTAATTTTTTTTTAATTTTATCTATTATTATTTGGATTCATGAGGATTTGATTGTTGATATTTTTTTTCATTCTCTTTCTAGAGGATTGATGGTTGATTATTCTTTTTTCCATTCTCTTTTTACAATGTGGAGCTGTTTTTTTTTAAATACACTTGCAACATTTAGAATATGTTTGAAAATATAACTGTGATTTTTTTAATTTTTTTTACTTAGAAAAATATCAAAATAATATTTTTTTATTTTAAAAAAATTAATTTTGATATTAACACATCAAAATGATCAAAAAAACACAAGAAAATAAATTCATGTTCTGAAAATAAATTCATTTGTTAACTTTGCAGATTTAGAAGCTGTTTGGAGACACTTTTAAAATTATGTTTCCTAAAAATTAAATTCTATTTTTTAAAAGCTCTTGTTATTGAAACGCTTTTCTGAAATTATTTTTCCTTGTTCATTAAATCCTTATTAACTTAGGTTTGGCTTTGTCGTATTACCTCATGCCATGAGAGTCCATGCCCAAAGTAACATAATAAGATAATAATAACCCAATACAACAAATATTTACAAATACAGTAGCTTTTATCTCTTTGAAGCTTTAAGCCACGGTAAATGTTTTCCGATAACAGCAGCAAAGTGCAAGAAAATATTCAAACAGTACAATGTTTCGAAAATGAACTCGAAAATGAAATCAACAAAAACATATTATTTCAGGTAAATTGTCAAAAGCCATTTTCATTCAATACAGGGTCAAAGGACAAGCACAAGAGACTGAGGCTTGCTGCACAAGGTCAGATGTATGAACAACATGAAGCAAGTGATGGGGCAATAAGTTCCAGCAACCAATCCAGATTACACAGAACCAAACGCCATTAAAACATGGATAAAGTTCCACCATTCATTCTCCATGCATGCGCATAATAGCTAATGCAAACAAGTAACATATCTACAAGTTTAGTCTGGACTCACAAGGACAGCTTATCAAGACGACGATCCATGATTAGTGATACAGCTTCAAGAAAGGCAGCCTCACTGCTCCCTGGGAGAACAGCATCATGAGCTTCTTGAATAATCTGCTCAATCACGGATTCCTTCTTCACTGATTCCCTGCACATGATGCTTCCAATGGCAAAAGGAGTAAGACCTCTCTCCACTCCTTTCTTCAGAAGCATAGTGGAAATGCGAAGGGTGCGAGCACACTCAGGTGGTATATCCCACCCATGAAACTTCAGAAGTGCGATGTCCTGCTCAGCATCCAGAGCTTTGATGTACTCAACAGTGTCAGGGGAGTAAGGCTGTTGCGCTTGAGGCCAGTAAAGCCAGTCAAAGGTGCAATCCTCAAACTGCAGGGAAATGGAGCAAATATGAGAAGTAACAGGCATGAATTTGGAAGCACTAGACATAGGTTGAAACAGGAAAGCATGTCAGACAGTACAGATAACCTTTTATCCAACTTATACTGATGCTCAAAAACATAAAGCAACCCTGAGACGAAAAATTCAGATAAATTAATGTAGTTTGGAACTCGTTCCTTAAGCAGTCAGAAGCACCAAAAAAATACATGCTTCCATGATAAAAAAGGTAGAAGTGCAAGTAAATTGTTATGGAAACTCCTGGAATTTACTAGGATGAAAATTTATGAGACAAACGTGTGACAAGCATATGCTTCATAAGAATCAAAGATAGCTGAAGGCCAGTCATGAGGAGATATCCAACATACACTCATTTCTAAACAAATACTGAATGGTACAGAATGAGGACAATCAGCACACCATACTTGAAATCTTCTCTCCATAGTTATACACAATTATATTTTTCCTGGTTTTGAATAAAGTTTATTCCTCACCTATTTGTGTAGCATATTCAAAAAGATGGAGTTGCATGCTTTGCGAAATATAAGGGGAAATAGTAGAAGTTTTACTAGGACATATCCAGCACAAGTACATTTACTCAAGGAATGCTGCTCAAAAGGAATGGTTAGAGAAGACATTAATATAAGAAATTGAGATGGCAGCATTAACATTGCACATCAAGAATAATACAAAGTGGCAGAACAGAATGAGACAGTTAAAACAAAAAGAAGACAAACAGAAGGTAGAACTTACATTTGTAGGCAAGCAGTAACCATGATCAATTGGAATAAGCACAATCTTGCCACACTCACCATCTTTACTGACCAATATGTTCCCAGCATGCCTATCTGCATTTGCCAATCTAATATCCAACACTGAGATTTTGTGCACCTCAGATACAGGGAAAGCACAAGGACCCATATCTTCACAATTTCCATTATTCTCCATGAACATCTGCAATGAACCAATTTTGATATTCTTGGAATCAAATTCATAACCATCAGGATGATTGAATCCTCTGTGGAGACACTTGACCATTGCTGTGGGTGGAACCCCAGCAAAGCCTCTCTCCTCACCAGAAAATGAGTGTGGTCCACTCTTTGGATGATCCAGAATGTAAGCTGCAACTTCCCGCAATGCACCCTGTCCTACTCTAGTGCCTTTCTTCAATCCTTCACCATCAACTGACAAGGGCAGCCCCTGAGGATTATTTACAGCCATTGGCTCCTCATCAATTGGCTTAAAGACAGAAACATATTTCAGACCAGATGAATCTTGCATGAAATAAGCTCCTCCAGATCCCTCAGAAGATCGAATTGGTTCATTGCCCCTCTCCAGCCCATTTAAAGTTGACTTGATTAGCTCTCTGATAACCAATGACAGTTGAATTTTGGAATTAACAATTAGTGGTTCCAGTACGAACTGTTGTAATAGTGGTTTCCTCTCTATACCCCTATATCCCATAGATAAAGCACCCTGTTTGTGCTCTCCTACACTGTCAGCTTCCTTATCATTCAAATCTAATGCCTCAACAGACAATTCAAAATCTTTCTCAACAGGTTTTACCCTCACTTTGGCAGATTTCCGAATGAGCAAATGAATCACAGAACCATTACTTTTGCAAATATCAGTAATGAGCCTCTGGTCTTCGAGCTCCTCACCATCACATATCAGTTCTTGTTCAACAAGTTCAAAAAATTTCCCTTTCCTAGCTATCTGCTTCTTAACATAGCCTACACTTCTACCCCTATCAACATGAAAGTCACACACTTTGCCACAAACGGTCCTAACAGTTATAGCTTGTAGATCCGAAAGCCTGAGCACCAAATGCAGAACTTTTCCATCCGCAACACCATAATCTCTTACTTGCGAATTGCTCCGTGCTAGTTCCCTCCCTTCAAAAACCAATTTTTGGTTCTTCACAAAGAAACCTTCGGAAGCTTGAATCCTCAGCTTCACCGAAGCAATTGAATCCGACTTCATAACTCGCATTGGAATGACTGATCCCCCAACAGAAAGAAATATTACAATAGAGTCACTAGTGCGCAGACCACACAGCCAAGGGAAATTGCAACGAGAATCTAAAGACTCTCCACGCACAGGACTAAAAGCTACACTAGCCACCGACATTGTTAGTCCTGTCAATCTAAATCCTAGCTTCTTACACTAACATAAAACTCTGAAATCCTAAATTTTACAATAAACCCCAAATTCATTCCAAACCTCCTAACCAAGAGCAAGATCCAAGAATAAAAATCTCCATTTTCCACAAAAACCTGGGTAGACACACGTCAAAACCCAAAGAAACAATACTTTCATCAAACTATTCAAGCTAAAGGTTCCAAAGTGTAGACCTATCACCGGATTCTCTTCTTGTGAAAGATCAATACTTTCTTCAATCACTTCAATATAATCCCTGCAAGAAAAAACAATATCTTCAATTAGAAACAACAAAATTTTATATTCTCATCAAAACCAAAAAAGCCTAACCATTTAGTTCCATTCGAGTATTATTAAATTAAATGAAAAAAAAAAGAAATTAAAGAAAAAACCATCAAAAATTCAATATTTATTTTCTCAATTTCCTGCATTTTGAACCATAAATCAAACTCATAACCTCAGCAAGACAATAAATTACAAAATAAAACCATAAGTAATTGAATCTTTATTTTCTCAATTTCCTATTTTTGAATCAGAAATCAAGCTAACAACCTAAAACATTCAAATTAAATTAAATTTCTCAAAATCATATCGAATATCTTCAATTTTTCTCGGATTTTCTTGGTAACCAAACAGATTACTCAAAACACGATCGTAACATAAGAAGTCAAATAAAAACTCTTCTTCTATCTCTAATCCGTCAATTTCCTTTGCATCTTCTCATTTAACAAAAAATAAAACTTATAAGCATACAACATCAAACCAAAATTGATAAAAAAAATCCAAAATTCATCACCTGAAGAAGCTGAAATCGAAGGTGAAATGACGATGATCAAAAGAAAAGAAAGAGAGATTTAATTTTTTTTTAATTCTTTTCTGGTCATTTTTTCGATTTTGAAAATTAAATTCTCTCTTTTTCTTTTTTACTTTCTCTCTGTACTTTAGTTCTTTTAAAATGTTTCTAGAGAGATGAACAGTGTTTTAAGCAGTGGGGTATTTATAGTGATGTAGACGATGGCTTCTGACGGAAGGAGAGGTGATTAACGGAGTTAACTTTTAAATTTCCTATTTATTATTATGTTTTAAAATTATTTTAAAAAAAATAAAAAAAAAATATTTTTATACAGGCTTATATAATCTTATACATGATATTTATATATAAAAAATTCTTATTTTTTTTTAATTTTAATTTAATTATCTAATTGTTTCTTCGAGTAATTGATTAACTACTAATACGCACTATTTAGATTCAAAATGATGAAATAAAAAATCATATTTATGTTTATAAAAATATTTTTATTTATATTAAAAAAATATTTTTTATTTTCTTTTTCTTAATGAAAAAGTATTGTTAGTTACTCATGTAGTGTTTCTCTAAAATAGCATTTGGTTACTTTCATGTCATGAGATAGCAAAGACTACAAAAATAAATATTACATGTTTGGTTAAAACAATAAAAACAAAAATAAAATGAAAAAATTATTATTAAAATAATTTTAGAATAAATTTAAATACTTAAAAAATAGATACATAGAGGCATATTTACAGAAATAATATATATTATTCTTTACTCTAAAATGTCATTTCAAAAACTTTTAATTTTAAAATTATTTCACACTTTTTAAAGTAAATAACCTTAATTATTTTGGGTTATAAAGCAACAACCATCTTCTTCTCTTCTGGATCAAGAACCCTTTCACATTAAGTATATCTTTTTTCTTCTAATTGTTTTTTTAATTAATTTATTAAATCTTTCTCCACTTATAGTTTTTTACTTTCACATATTAAGTGCAACTATCAATCAAGATGTTAAATGTTAGTCCTTAATTAAAACTCCTTTTCTTTTCTTTTTTTCTAGAAGAATCGGTATGTGGCACGTTACATCTTTAATTGTTGAGTTTGGTAGAAAGAATTTTCTTGGATTTATATTTGGTATTATAGTAATTGATGGTGTGATTATAGTTTAAAAATTTTATTATATAAAATTTATTTTTAATTAAAGTTAATTTGATATTTATATATATTTAATTAAAACTATGATTAAAATTAAGATTAAATAAAAAATAATTTAATATATTTTATTAATAATACTTTTGAAATTGAGGTTATAAAATAATTTTAAAAAGTATATATTAATATTGATGGTTTTTAATTTAAACATTATAAATTTAACTATTATTATTACATCATGAAATAAATAATATTCTATATAAAATAATGTAAATATAAAAATAAAATATCACTACTAATAATTGCTCTATCTTTATCTCTTTTAACTTTTTTTTTTCCATTTTATTGATATTGTTGGAAATAATTTATATTTATGTTGATTGAAAAGAAAAGAAATCTATTATACTGTATATAGAAGTGATGTTGAGCGCATGAAAATCTAGATAATTTTGCACATTAATCAATAAAAAATGAGATTTGATATGTGAAGTAATTTGCACTCCTAAAAATTGAATCCGTTGGATTTGGATCTCCAACCAAATTCTTAATTATTAAGTCTTTTTATAAATATTTTTTTATTGATGTTTTTATTTGTTTTAGTTTCCTTATAAATATTACATGGAGAAGTTAAAGAAACAACTTAATATTAGGAAAATAAAGAATTATATTCAGAATATTTAATTATTTTTGCTTTTTAACATACTTGTTCACAAACAAAATTATTAAATTTGATATAGCCCGTGACCTGATCTAAACCTCTGATTAAGTGATTTAATTTGATTTGACCTAGATTAATTTAAAATAATGATATTTGAATTTTTTTTTAAAAAATTAAATTTAATATTGACCTAATTGATCAGGTTGAAGATTAATTTGTTTAGCTTATTAAGTTAACTTTTACTTAATTTAATTTTAAACTCAACTTAAATTAATTTTAAAGTTGGTAAATCATAGGTTGACTTAATAAGTTGGGTCAAATTGAATAAAATTAGTTTAGAATGATTTATTTTTTTTAATTAAAACACAAAATTTCTCCTACCAAAAATATCCCTGGTTATTCAAAACAAATATCCATTTGATATTAATTTCTTTATAAATATTTCTAGAATTAGAACATAAAAAAATACTAAGAAAATCATAATGCATATCAGCTGAATTACTATTTATTATGATAGTATAATTATTATTTTATCCTTAAAAAAAATCAATGATGGGTTTTTTGGTATCCCACAAAGTTATTGGTTATTATCAAATTGATTAAAAATAAAATTATTTTTTTAAAATTCTAAAGCACAATGAAATGACCTATTTATCATTAAAAGCAAAAATTTTAGAATTATGATCTAGGAGTTTTTTAGTTATCATATTTTTTTATGTACAATAAAATAATTCTATTATCCTTAAAATTAAAATTTTTAAAACTCGTGTTGAGAGGCTTTTTTATTTTTTAATTATATTTTTTATTTTTGTTATTATAAATTTAATTTAAAAAAATTAATTTTTTAATAAATATAAAATAATATTTTAAAAGAGAAGGAGCATGTAGAAGGTGTTCACACCCTTCCAACTACTCATACAGCTCTTTACAATGAAAAAAAAAAAAAAACACTTTTACTATGTTGTTAGAATCTTCACAACATTCTATTCCTATTAGGAAAGCACATATAGGCGGAGGTGGCATGGTTTTTCATCGTAGATGTCCCCTCTTTTTTTTTCTTTTTTTCTTTTTTGAAATTCATGTTAATCATTAAAAAATACAAAATTATCCTCTTAGTTATTAATATTTTAACTTATATTTTAATTTTTTTTATTTTTAATTTTAATTCTTAATCCTTTTATAAAAATTATTTATTTATTTTTAATTTTATCATTCACTCCTAATTTTTTATATATCACTTTTTTCAAATTTGGTTATTATTCTTTTAATTTTAATTTTCTTCTTTGTTTTTTTATAGAATTATTATTTGTTTTCAATTTCACTCTTCATCCTAATTTGTGATTTATTTTTCAATTTGATTCTTACTTCTTCTTTTTTTGTTATTTTCTTGTCTTTTTGTTAAATTTATTTTTCTTTTTAATTTCATTCTTATCAATTAAAAAAGAAGCAACTACAGTAGTTCTCTTCTAATTTATTTTTTATTCTTATTTTTTTAATTTTTATTTTTTTTATTTTGAATCATTTTATATAATTGATTTTTTTTCAATATCATAGTTCAATATTTGATTAGTTGAGTTTTTCATATATAGTGTTTTCAGTCTAATGACTCAGATCACAAATTTAAAAAGTTAATATGAATTGATATTTTTTAAAAAAAATATTATTTTTTTTTGAATATCAACATTCGGTACTGTTTTTTTAATAGATTTTATGGTTTTTTTCTAAAATTATTTTGATTTTATAATTTAGATCATGAATTTGACAAATTAATCTAAGTTAACTTATTTTTTATTATCTAAATTATAGATTTATCGTGACAACCATAATTCACTTTATAAAAAGGTTAGATGTTAATGTGAGGCATAAGCTGGTTTCTATTTTCGTTATAATCCATCAAGCAACTAATCTACAAGCTGGTTATAAAATGTCACTACTATGAGATCTCTCCAAATTAACATGCATATACACTAAAAGGACAATTCCCGGTCTTTTTGAAGCTCGACTTCCAGACACGTTAGATTTCTGTGCATGATCATTGGAACAACCAACAATTTCAGATTTGACAACATTCCATCTCCAAAATTTTGGGGACTGAATGATTCAACATCTAAGTAAGCACCTATCTTAAACAAATGAATCACAAAAATGTGAGCTTCCATTCAGCAGAATGAGCAGCATTGTAACAAATAGGGAAAAAACTTGATCAGGGATCCGAACAGGCAATCATCTGTGGGCATAAATGGCAGATTTCAACCATTTATGTAATTTTAGGGAAGAAGGTAACAAATGCACTCATTAGTATGACTAGACTAGGAATTAAAAACTGTAAAATAACAATCAAATTACGTATGCAGTGAAGATGTCTAAGTTGAAAATACTAACCTTCCACACTAAGATGCCTTGGCTCCGAAGATGTTGAGCTCTCATGTCAACTGTACCTATCCAAGAATCTTGTAGGGTCAGGGTCGTATAAAGCCCCATACAATATGGTCCCATCATTTGCTTGTATCTGAACTATCTTTGGTGGCTCAAGTTCCAGCCTTTTCAATGTTGGAATGGTGAAAGACTGCTCAAACAGAGGCATAATTTCTCTTCCATCAAACAGGGAGCAGAGAGAAACTCTTGGGGGAGAATCAAGGGAATCATGGATATCAACAAAATTCTGCAAGTGGTGATCAAGGACAACCAAGTGTTTCCCTTTACCGTTTGTTAATCTCACCGGAGCCTGCAAGGAATTGTTTTCAATTGGATACAGTTTAGCACGGTAAAGATGTGATTCCAAAGGCCCATCTAGAGTTGCAGTAAAATATATGATCCCTGCAGCCTCATTTACACCGGCAATTTGCTCAACTATCCATTCACCTTCAGTAATTGGTCCTAAGCATGTCCCATTGGCATCATGCAGATACAAATGCCTAAATCCTGACTTTTCACTCGCCCAAATGAATCCTCCAGAATATTTAGTGATTCCTTTGTCCAAAGGAGTGAAGCAGTCATGTAAATTAGTCCAGAATATTTAGTGTTTTGACATTTTTCGATGTTTCTAGCTTATAGTGGCGTTTAATTATTTTTGCTTTTTAACATACTTTTTAACATATTTTGAGTTTGAGCATGATGTAAAGCCGTCAAAATAATTCTATTATAGAGAGCTAGAGAAGAAAATCAAAGCTGGAAAAACTAACAATTTCTATTCTGTCCAAAGATCTGATGAGCCAAATTGCGAAGAAAATGTTAATTAACAATGATAGTGGCGGTTACAGCAGTAGATAGGGGAAAATGCATGAGCAGATCCCACGCGGTTGGAAGTTCAAATTCAAA